TTAGAATAATTTTGTTCCCAGGAATTCGAAAATCCTTTTCCAATTTTGTCTGGTTCATATTTCTTAGCGTCTCCACCAACAAATATTTATTGGACTCAAATGAATAAAGCATTCAAATATTTTATAAAAATTAGAGTATTCTCTAAAGAGCATGCATTTTCTCTAATGGGGCCTAAACATGGGTCGAAATGACCGAAACTCCTACAAACAAGCTGTCAGCTTGCTGCAAGGATCAGTTTGCATAAACCTGTGACTAGCTCCCAAACCCGGACCCCATTGCTAGATTCCAATTTTTAAAGATGCTAAATATAATGAGAACACTGAGGAACTACCCAGACTCTCTGGAATTCTTCCCAAGTTCCTCTCATCTTCTTAATTTTTTCTCTATATTTCTTCCTTCTTCTCTACTGTTTCAATTACTAATTCCTGAGCTAGGGTTTGTTCTGGAGGATCTTCACAAGAAAGTTCTTAAAAATAGTAATTTCAATATCATAAAAGAAAAGGAAAAGAAAACATTTGTAACTTACTTGAATAGTGACACCGTTGTCCAGCAATGCCTTTTTATACCTGATTTGGGAAATTCAGAACAATGAAAAAGAATCTCAAGTCAGGAGCAGAAGGAAATCCATAACTGGCTTAAATAACTGCAATTCTTACTTAATTGGGTTAAATAAGTTCATGTTTTCTTCTTTCTTTTTTTTTTAAAATACGAAGAATAGTATTAATTTACGAGCACCAAGGGGGTGCCCCCATGAACTATATAAGTTCATGTTTTCAAAGCCAACATTCTGAAAGTGCTTGATGTATCCCACATATATATACAACGGAACTTTACAGAAAGAAATACAAAGAACATAGACAGTACAATGGCAAGAAAATTGATCCTAACTGGGGAACATTATACTCGAAGCTTAACAGGAGACACAAACTCAGAAAAAGAAAAATAAGTGGAATACCACTATAAAGCCATAGAATTGGAAGTAACTTTTTCAAGGTTAACAGAACCACTACAGCCTACAGCTAAGCCCACCAGAAGGCACAGTAATATTACAAAAATGCATATAAATCTTGAGATGTAAGTTTGCCCCAAAATTAAGTGAGAACTGGAGTGGAAATCTAATACCAACTCATACAAGAACCAAGATGATATACGTCAACAGAATTTGCCAGCAACCAAAGGACTCCATAGAGTACCTTCCCAATCTTGTGGAACAAGCCCTCCACTTGTCCTATCTTTTTCACCTTCCAAAGATGAGGGAATTGTTGTATAGACTAATCATCCATTTTTACTTCCATCTTAAGCAACCATGGTTCATGAAACAACTCTCTAGAGTAATTTACTGGATGCTATGCCAGGTTTAGCATTAGACTTCTCTTTTTTTAGAAGAAAAGAAAGTAACATGAAAGACACAAAGGGGTACCACCCAAGTATAACAAATCCACAAAGGTCAGAAAGCACAATAATTATAAAGTTCCCTAAACCCACACCATATTGAAGAAGATGTTCTGACAACAAAATATTCAGGGAATAGGACTAACAATATCAAAAGGAGAGCAAATGCCTTGAAAAATTCTCTTGTTTCTTTCTTTCCATATGACACAAAAAGGAGATTGGAATGAGATAAAGCAAGTCAAGTTTGAAAGGCCTAAAACAGAATCCCGCAGACCCCAAACCTCAAAGCATCATAGAAGAATATGGTTGAGGGATATCTACTCTAGCAAACAAATAATGCAGCTAATTATCAACTATTATCCTTTTTTAATTACAGTTTGAGCAACCAAACCATTAGAAGACATGATCTTTAGCTTGAGCCTTCAGCACAACATTGATAAATTTGCTTATTTAACTCACCCAAGACATAGCGGGTGATGCTTTAGGTGATAACTACGAGGATATAAAAGACGTAAACAACCAAAAATATCCGAGAGCATAAAAATGCACATTCACCACATTAAGAGCATACCGAGGTACTGCTGTAAGCCCTTTCATGTGAGGTTGTGTTTCTTTAATTTTGAATGTCACATGTTTTGGGACTGATCCAGACAAAGGTCGTCCATCGTACAACTGTAGTGTGACTTTCATTTCATCTGTCAAGAATCAAAAACACGCCTTAATATAGTATAAAAGATGCTAAGATATAAGTCAGAAAAGAAAATTGAAACTAAACTGTTTAATATAAGCGATGCTCAACTCTCAGCCATAAGAAGTAAAAACTAACCATATCACAAACAAAAGGCATGTCTAGGTAATCTATGAACAATAGAAGTATGAGGGAAGAAAGAACTGAGGAATAAAACTTTTTTCAAAAAATTTATGGGAAAGATTTATTAGGATCCAGATAAACCAAAAGGCTACAACAATACTACACAGTCACAAAAAGTCAATACCCAAGGATCATTATCACAGATCAAGGTAATTGTGACAACAAAGCTAAATCACATTATGTAAGCCAAAGCAAGCTGTATGGAAGCTAATCCATAGCCTCAACAAAAGATATCATAAACATTGGGACTATGACAGCATAAACAGAATAAAGCAGTTCCCCTGTGTCTTCAATGAAAATTATTTTACAATCACTTCTTTCTTGAGCTTGCCTTTTGAAAATGGGACAATTTTGGGATGGGATAGACAAATTTAAGCCAACTCAAAGGCTGATTATAGCATAGCTAACCTAAAAAATTATACATATAGTAAATAATTGTCACTCTGATTTTTACCAACCTTTTAGGTATGCAGCAGCTTTGCCAAATATGTCAAGTGATACTTCCAATTGCTCAAACGTATCAGGCCTAGTAAGCATTAGGAAAAGGAAAGAACGGTTGGTACATCTATTAAGCTTGAGTATCTTTAATAACAAAGCAGAAAAGGTCGCTAGAAGAGGAACTGGAAACCCAGTCTAACTCACTCAATCAGGAAGGCAGTATTATGTTCTGTATATAAACATGTGAAAGATTTCTCCTCAACAAATACTCCTGAAATAATTAGTCCAGCATAACAAACTTAACCAATTACAACCAATAAGTTAAATATAATAACAATTAGATATAAAGGCCAAAAATAAAATTAAAAGGTAACAAGAGGACAAAATGGAACTCCGCCCAGACCCAGCTACAGACGCTATCTCAAGCCAAAAATGTTCCAAGTGCTACCATGAGTGAGTTGTTTGTTGAACTAGTCTGTCAATTCACATGCAGATGTGTTATTTGTATTTCCACATCAGTGGTGTCTGGTATCAAGCCAAGGTCAATTTTAAACCTCTAGCCATGTTTGACAACAAACAGTCAACAAATCAAGTTCAATAAGAGGAACAAGGCATCAAGCCTACAGTTTTGTAAATTTGATAGTCAATTTTAGTAAACTGTTAGCAAACATTGCCCAGTTATGGTAATGTCAGGACACTGATTCAGTAGACAGTCCTCTAGAGGCAGTTTCTGGTTTAGGAATATTTGGTGGGAGAAATGGAAGAATAGAAGAGAGTAAGAAGATAGGGAGAGAGAGATTGACAAGAGTTTGAAGATGAAAATCTTTGATGTTCTCTTTCATAATTCTTCCTCATCATGTCATACAATTACTAGATGTACTGCATTCCCTGGTAGAGCCAGCTGTCAATCAAGCCCATACCCTACCGGCAGTCCTAGTACCTACACAATTATTCCTAATTGTAAACGTAAATCTAAAGGAAATTCGATTAGCTACAAATGCCTTACCCGGTATGTTGTTGGTTCTTGAGAGACCAATGCATCTATCACAAGGGACAACTTGTTGAACAAGGATCGGAAAAGAAATTATATTCCCGCCAAAATTATACAATTCACTGATTTTAAAATTTTCTCGAAAACCAAAATGATTGTGAAAAAGAGAAGGTTCCACAAGTTCTGAAAAACTCATATCCATTATCCAGTCAGATCCAATTGGCCCTAATGGCATAAATACTCCTTTTGAGCTAATGATTTGAGGCTCAATCCCCCTTTACAACCAAGAACTCATATCAAGTGAAAAAAACTCATATTGGTATGAATTTCTCATGTGGAAAATCCTCTTACGTGGAACACCTAAAAGCAAACCAAGTTTAGATGCTTGAAAATTAGAGAAGTGGTGTTTTCGCGTTAAAAGCATGCCTTTATGATAAAGTAAGGTTAAATGTGCTGCGAAGAAATTTAATTGTACAACAGATAAAAGAACAAACATCAGAGGAACAAATTAGCATGCAGCAGTCGAATGCAGATTATAAGCAAGCAATTAGAAGAAACAACTAAAACACAGAAAATGTTCTCAAAAAACTTTCAGTAGACACTAGTGCTGAACTCCATCATACAAACAGTCGTCTTTCACTTAGTAAATCACAGAAAGAATTTAGTTATGATCAAGATACATACTTTCAACAGGCTCTTCAGTGCCAAAACGTAAGCTAACTTTACTTCCAGTATCAACATCACGAAGCTCCACCTATGAATTCCAGGAAAGGGTAATCTTAGCTTTGCAGTTCAAAACTCATAAGGAACAGTAGAAGAGTTAAGAAAGAGCAAAATCTAGCAATAATCAAGCCACAGAAAGTGGAAAGCTAGAATTAGGATAGAGAGAGAAGCCACACAAATGACCTTCAAAGTCACCCAGCACCTCTTCTATCTCTCTTTCTCTCTCGCTCTCTCTAAAGAGAGGGTTTCCCTTTCCTTGCTTCAGACCCCTCAACGGTCTGACTCTCCTCTTAAGAGATTCCTGTCATTGAGCACAAGTCGTTTGATCTTGTGCTTGAGGTAGGAACAAAGGATTGTGTAAGAATTTTGAAAAGGACAAGGCTCTCGATGTTCGACCAATTTCATGGAAGGTAAAGTACAAAGGCTCTTTTAAGGCTCAATGAGTTCCACTGTGAGAAAGGTGTCAGCTTGTGGATGAGAAGCTCGGTTATCCTCAGGAGCATATAGGGAA